AAACCTGGGACCCTTCAGTCTGCAGGCCGACGCTCTATCCACTGAGCCAAACCGGTTAGGGCTAGCTTATACTTTTAAAAAACTATTTTTGTTGATTTTAGAGAGAGAGGAAGAGGGAAAGAGACATTGATCGGTTGCCTCCCATACACATCCCAACCAGGGATCGAACCCAAAATCTGGGTACGTGCCCTGACCAGGAATTGAACTGGCAACCTTTTGGTAAATAGGGCGATGCTCAACCAACTGAGACACACCGGCCAGGGCACATTAACTTATACTTGGAACAAGGATATTACCAGACAAAAATGATCTTATTTTAAAGTGGTTTTACTAAAAGGAGAGGCCCCCAATCATGTATTTATACCCTCAAAGTTCCCCCCCTAAAAGATTACTCACAGTAACAAAATTAAGTTCTTTCATCACATCGTCAATGATTCCCCGACGTCTAAGAGCTTTGATCAAATCTTCTGTCGATAACTGCTGTTGATCAGGAGCCAGTTCTTCCCGTATCGTCTCAGCAAGGATTTCTCTTATTCTGCCATGCACGTCCATCTATACACAGAAAGCTCGCATTACAATGTACAACATTACAGAGCAGCTGAAGGTTGCCACTTAGTTCATTTCTCTTTTCAATACTGGCAAACAAAATTAATGGCAGTTGCCACTCCGTGAATTTCTTTCTAAACCACTGACAAAGAAAAATATAACGTTAGAAGAGAGGCTCCATTCGGGAAGGCTTCTCCAGCTAATAGTAAACGGGAAATTGTTACCAGAATTCAATGAGAATAAAGTAGCTGTGCAAAAGGAAAAATAATAATCACCTAAGATAAACATTGTTAGTGCAGATTCTAGAAACCATCCCTCCTGGCTATATACCGCCTCTGTTACTACTTCCCTACAGATAACACTCCACGGAAACCATCCTCTGGGAGGAAGGATGGTCTGATGAGAAGGACGCGGACGCGGACCCGGGGCGGCAGAGCATGAATGCCAGCCCTCCGCTTGCTGGCCGCGACCCGCAGCTCGCTCACCTGCCCTCCACGAACCCGGACCAGGAGCGCCCCGCGAGCGGGAGCAGCTGCGAAAGCGCACAAAGCCGGGCCCGCACGCGCACAATCAGCGGCAGCTTTGGTCACTCCAGCTCGGGGCATCCCACTAGCGCCTCAAAGACACCACGTTCCCCTTCGGCTCGGAAGCAGCACAAACCCTTTCCTTACAGACCCTCCCAGGACTTTCTGAAGAATCGCGGCTTTGGTTCAACACCAACGACACCTCCAGTTTCACCCTGAAAGTAACTCCCTTTCCCGACGTCCGAGTGTACACCGTCTCCAAAAACCACACACACTCGATCTGACCTCCAATAAAGCTCCATGTTCACACCTGCCCTCGAATCCTATCGCCGTCCTACCGCCTCCCACTCTTACTAAAACTCTCTTTCCATCGCGGCTGGAGAGGTCCTCT